GTGTGTTGCTATGGCGATTCTGACGACAATAACACTTTTGGTTTGATAGTACCACGTGTAGTTGAGATCTGATGGCGTCTCCACCACCTGTCAAAAAGAGCCGAAAGGCCAATTTTTCGGAGAACGAGCTGTCGGCTCTGGTAGACGGATACGAGCAGTGCAAAGTGGCGATTGAGGGAAAAGGGAACAGCGCGCATGGCTCGATTGCCAAGCAGCGGGCTTGGGAACAAATTACTCGCGATGTGGTCGCAGTTTCCGGCATCCGAAGGGAAGTGGCCGACATAAAAAAGAAATGGGCCGATGTCAAGAGCATCAACAAGAAGCGGGGTAAGTCAATTCTCAAGTTTTGGAGTTCGCGAACTTAAATGATACGATATGCTTTGTACTAATGTAAGAGGCAAAATGTTCGGCGCTAGCGCTGAGTCAACGCACGAGCACATTTTACTCCTTCACAATAGTGCTTTTAATAATGTTGTTGACATTAGACGCGCTAGCGGAGATGACTTAGCTAGATGCATTCTTTTGCGAACATTTATTTTATGCTGTCATACACTGTGGAAGGTTCCCGCCTTCTGTTAGCTACGAGGGAGGTTTTAGCAAGCGTGTAGTGACAACTAACAGTGTTAAACCAGTTCAATTTTGCTCGAGATATTAGCTGGTGTCCGACACAGAAAAATGTCGCGAAGTTTGAGGTCATCCTTATGCACGTTCGAAAGGCATACCTGTTGCCCAAAAGCCTTGGCTAGGCAATGAAAACCGGTGATCGAGCAGTCGCGCTTACAGCAGCCTCCTTTGTCTGCTACGTTATTTAATACTGACACAATACGCAGGTGCAGCCGTGAAAAAAAGTCAGTGTGCCACTTGAGGCGGCGTAGGCGACGAGCCCCTCAACGAGATGGAGGAGAGAATCGTGGGGCTGCTCAACGTGGAGTCGGTGGAGGGCATTCCAGGCGCCTTTGACATTGGCGTTGCCCCGATTCAAGAGGTGTTTGTGGGTGTGCCCTTCTCCCTGCCACTCTCGGGTAGGTTTGCACAAGCCTGGATTAAACACTACCTTTCTTCATCAATGTTTTGCCTAGAATTATGCGGTCAAAACATTATTAGCAGCCTACCATGTGCGTGTCGTGTTTGTTGCTTTTCTTGGTCAAACTAATTTTTAAATACAAATTTTCAAGGTACTTCTGCCAGGCCGAGCTCAGCAAAGCCAGTTCCCTCAGTTGGGGAGTTAGCAAGGGTTCTACTTCCATTGCAAAATATAAAATAATAGTGCCGTCCAAGCAAACTACCAGTTAATTTGTATGTACCCGCCTAGTATGTACCTGTCACGTTTGTTGCTTTTCTTGGTCAAACTAATCTTTAAATACAAATTTTTAAGGTACTCCTGCTAGGCCGAGCTCAGCAAGGCCAGTTCCCTCACTTGGTGAGTTAATAATGTGGGCTGATTAGTTGCATGGTTAATGTTCCTCTTCATTACTGCTCTTCAAACAATCCCCGTAGCCTCCAGTTTTGAATTATCAATCGGGTAGCTGATTAGCCAAGTGATTTGGACTGGGACCCACATTGTATGGACAAGCAGTACGTTACTGTCTTCCCAAACACTGTTTGCTGGATCCGTACAGTGCATTTCTGGATCTTGTTTAAGGCACCACCATAACGGCAGGCAGGTCCACGGTTTTTACCATAGCAATCATAACATTACTTATAATGGTTATAATTACATTACCTAATCACAACCTTTTCGGTCATTCAACCTGGTTGGTAGTCAACGAATACGGTGGCCGCCAGCTGCAGGTGTTGCTGGTTGAGCAATCAAGCTTAGTTGGTTCAACTTCCTGCAATCTCTCAGTCCTGTGTTAGCATTTTTTCCACGCAGAGCCTGTATTTCCTAACAGCAAATATTTCGGTACTCAAGGCTGTTGGCTTTTCTATTTAGATAGCCAAGAAGCGAGCACAAGTGGCCAACCAGAAGTGGGTGATATGTTGGCCCACTCTTCGGGAAATCCGAAGTCACGCCAAGAAAGTGAGTAGCAATCCTAAATGCTGCTAGATGCAGACCACACCATGCAGCAATACAAACATAACACTTAATGCAGAACCAAAATAGATATGTTGCAGCATCTGATCAAAACAAGTGTTCAAGTCCATAAAAAAAAAAAAAATCTCCACTGTCAAAAGGAACAGAGTAGAAATTTGTGCTGCTTATAACTATTAAGGTGCAAGTTCTCTCATTAGCAACTTGTGATGATCATTCGTACATGCTTCCTGTACTTAGATATGGCCTGCATAGTTAATGCAATAAATGCAGGGGTGCAGGCAAGCTGGATAATAAGAACCAATAAATATTCCCTGAAGGGGACAAAGGACAAACACAAATCTCCAACAGCAGCTATGCGATTTGTGCGTGGCGCTGGTTTCATAGCTATATAATGGAAATGTGACAATGGAGTGGTGTGATCGCTTTGAACCGTGCAAACATCTTTTCCGTCGTCTGCAGGGATCAAGGAAGACCCCACACAAAAGATCATCGAGGGACAACAGGCTATCACAGCCCGCTTGGATAGGCTTGTGGAGCTGCACGAACAGATGGTGGCTCTAAAAGCTTACCAACTTAATGTATGCTTTAAGAACGGAGAAATTGTTCCAAAATATGAATAAAAAGGCACTTGTATAGAACAGCAATACATTGTTTCTTTATTACACAAAGTTTCTGGTGTCACCGCTGATCTCTACAATGATTTTCTGGATCGCTTCTTCCTCCTTGTAGTGCAGGTGAATCCACCGGAAGTTCTCAATCGGCCGTCTTATGCCATGAAAAAGTCAGCCGGGCGTAGTGCCGTGAAGACTAGTACATCCATGGAAAAACCCATTTTGAGCTTCATCACCGTCATGATTGAAAAGTTTCATGATGTTCTTGGAAACTAGCCACTGCATTTCCAGTGGCTAGTTTCCAAGAATTGCTAATAAATTATAGGCTTCACAAACATGCTTTCTCGATGAGCCTCCACAACTGCGCGCATGTCCCGGCAGCAGCCGTTGCAGCCATCTGCCATCTCGCCCATCTGCCGGGTTGAACGTTGTTGGCAGTGTACCGTATCTGCGGCAGCCTAAAGGCATTGCGACAGGTAAACTTATTTGAATATGCTATTCGTCGTAATTTACCTTCACGTATTGCAGTGTCACCGAATCCAATTATTTTGCACCGCAACCGTGGCAGGTTCGACAAAGCGTTGGTGCAGCAGACGACAGAGCCAGCACAAAGGGGAGGGACAAGAATGGGGAAGCCGTTGGTTCGTCGCTCACCCGACTCAACTGCTCAAAAGTTGTTGCCGTGGTAACCTGCGCCTGCTCGCGTATGCCACATGGTCACGTGGTAGCGGGAGGAGTGGCATACCAAAAACTCCCATTATTTCTCGCACGCGCGGGCTTTTGGGATTTTTGAAAAGGGTCTATTGAGAACTTCCAGTGGCTTCACCCCCGAAGTGGTGATGCGTGATCCAGAAAATCGTCGGAGATCAGTGGGTGTCATCTACACCCAGTGACCGCTTTTGTGCTTTCATAAGCTTTCACTTGAATACTTCGTTAACAAGGTTTCTCCTTACAACAATGCCAGCAGGCGTGTCCCTGGCGGTGCTCGGCCTGTCTTCGTCTTCTTCTTCCTCCTCCTCCTCCTCATCGGATTCCACAACTGTAAAAAAAAGTGAATTTGATGTTAATGCTTATACGGCGTAAGTTTGATCTGCCATTGAAGGGCAACACTGGCTTACGCTATAGGTCCAGCAATTTAGTCAGTTTAGTAAAACTGCTTGCATGGCATCTTCAGCGTGCACCACGCAGTAGTGATACACGACCACACGCCAGTACGAGCCGCAACCACAACGAAAGGGGTGGGTATTTGAGCCAAGATTTCTGTGTTCTGCTGCACAAGCTTTCGCTCCACATGCTACGAGCTGGTGTGCACTTAGCCCACTCGGCCCCCAATCATTCACCACCCGCTACTGTTCAGAAAGTCGTAATTTGCACAGCAGCAAAAGGACATCATAAGATTTGCAAGCATGATTATAATACAACAGTAACTGAATAATAACTGCAGAAAACACATTCTGAGAACAGTCCTAACAAATTATAGGCTTCACAAATTTGTCCAAAGGCTCGAATTAGAGTACACGTGCTGCATTAGCTACTGTTGCTTAATGTGCTGGCTGAGCTCCCCTGGCAGACATTCCGTCAACATGTCATGAATGGTATTCTATATTCTGCTTCACCCGATCCTCTTATGAGAGGAACTCACAATCTCATTCTATAGATGCTTCAATTTCAGAAGCAAGGCAGGCGACTAAAACAGCCGCTTCCACTTGCCAGCTTCAATGGCTCAACCACAACATTGTACCCACCAACAGAAAGGGCAGGTTTACCTCATGAACCAACTCATGTTTACAAACAAACCGGAGCACCCCTAGCAGACGCCACCGACGTAACACTTGCGCGATGGAGTGTGGCCAAGAAGCTCACCGTCACCCATAAACAAACCATTGAAATGCAATGTTGTCGGCGTCGGTGTGAGTCCCCCAGCCCTTTTTCGCGTTAGAAGTGTTGATTCTATGTCCTCCTGGCGATGTCTGACTGCTTGAGCGGCCTCAGAGAAATCACCGAGGCTCGTTACACCGTAAAACGTTGCGTGAATAATTCGACATGAACGGGCATTCTGTTTGCGTGGATTTGTAGATCACTACTACGAGGGGCACCCTACAACTTCCAGGACGGCAGAACTGCAGCGCTCGCCCGAAATTCCCCACTACAGCTGTAGTACATTTCCAGACTTGAACAGATGGAAGCTCACTACAGTAGATAACGAGAAGAGATTCATGGAAGAAAGCTGCATCGGTTTAAGCTTAATTCCTTCCTAACTTGTTAGTGGACACGCAAGTAGCACAAATGAAATGACTGGCTCGCTTTGTCCTGGTTTAACTTATTATATATTTAACTAAGTACCTATCTAGGAGTTACTCTGAAATGTGCAAGCTGGCTCAAACCTTTGCCAAGATCGAAATGCAAAAAAGGCTGGATACCAAGAGGCTACGAAGCATATGGTCGTTCAGCCTGTCAACTATTAAATAATCATATGAAATCCAAATTAAAATATACCTACCCAGCAACCAGCCATCGGGCATGCCCCCAGCCTCGAACTTCTCCGACAAGTCGCAGTTGCGCCACATAAAACTGTCATGCGTGCTCCCCGGCCACTTCACTGTGAGCTGTGTGACTTCGTTCGACGCATTGCAGACCGCTTGCACATTCAGGGAGTCGTATCCTTTCCTGTTTCGGTAGATGTTCTGGTCCTTCTTCGCAATCTTGAGGGCGATGTGCGTGCCGTCGATGCACCCCAGCACCTTGGGGAATCCATTGATTTCCGCAAAGCCTACAGATTAAAACAACGAAGTGTTCAACATTCTGTGAAGCAGTGGACATCTTGGGTATTTTATTTACCACATTACAATATATACAAAAATTGGTCTATCAAAGAGATGACCTCTAAATACTCATACCTCAATTAAAGCACTATCGCACCCATTTAAACACTATTACCAAAAAAAAGAAGGGTTTTGGGGGGGGGGGGGGGGGGGGGGGGCAAAGAGTGCTTTTGTTAGTTGTCATGGGCATTGCATGAACAATGCATTGCTGACTGAGAGTCTCGGCGACCATTCCACACAATGCCGTTGCTCACGTCAATCTATACAACTTCGTTCGCGTCAATGAAAGTTACACTCATTAGGGTCATGCGGGAGGCACTCACTTGATCGAATGACGTTTTAGCGAACGCCCACGTTCCCCCCGATTAAAGCTGATCAGGCTGAGTAAACGCGCTAACCATTCGCACTGAAATAAAATAACAGGAGTAACTAACGAGCACGTCATTGGGAAAACACTTACCGCGTGCAGTACGCATTGCTGCCTGCGGAGTCACGGGGAACTTGATCCCTTTTTCAGCAAAGTTGCAGAGCGCGCTGCTGACCGAGTTTATAATGCGCGAAGCACTCGTCTGGCTCATATTCCCCACGTCGCCCACGACCGACTGAAAACTGCCGCTTGCATAGAAGCGAAGCGCCAGTAGTACTTGGGCGTCCACGGGGAGCGCACAGTTCCGAGCCGTCGGACGGCGGAGCGCAGGTGCGAGCGCCTCGCAGAGTGTCTCCATGGCAGGCCTCGGGAGACGGTAGTACCTCGCCAGATGGTTATCGGCGATGGTGTCGAGTGTCCGAGGAGTACGGAACACACGTTGCTGCCGTAGATTCCGCTCCGCGTCGCGCTGCTGCTGAAGCAGGTAGACGACGTACGCGGCAGCCATTTTGGTTGAAAGTCGCCAAAATGTTCGTAAGATCGATCGGACCCCTGTCGTAGGATTTCGTCTTAACTTACGCAAAACTTACGAACATTTTGCTTCGGGAATACTCAAAAGTTCGTAACTTTGTCGTAAGATAAATTTACGAACTTTTTTGTCGTAAGAAAGTTTCGGGAATCTGGCCTCAGAGTCTTCGACGTCGCTTTGTTTCTCTGTGGTGTGTTCCTTTGTGTTGGTGTGGTTTTCCTCCTCGCCATCGTACGTGTCGAAGGAGTCGTCATCAGCGTGAGGCTCGATGAAACTGTCGGTCCTACTGAGCCACTCCAGGATTCGCTCGGCGGCGGTGGCCGTCAAGTCCAAATTTAATGGGTCGTTTTCTTAGGTCTAAGATCACGCACGGGTAAGGTCGGCCGAGACGCTAGCCTCGCAAAATGCATGGGCGAGAACGTCCTCGACCGGGAAAAAGCCCAGGAGCTAGGAGGAGGCCCCCAATTTATCGATGACGGCACTGGTGGGTCTCAAAGACCCAGGGTAGTTGCTGGACTGACTTAGGATTAGGGGGCCTTCTGGACTTAGCGCCTGGGCCGTAGCTGGTGTTCGCGGGAGCGCGAGACGTGCGGCGTCCGCGTCGAGGCTGGTTGGGCAGCTGGTCGGGAAACTCTCTGAAAACCTCGTACTCGAGCCTGGACGTTTGGGACATGATAGCCGTCCTCCGACTCCCCCTCGCGATGGCGTGGAAGAGTTCCAGTCTATCAAAAATGAGGTGCCGATGTTCGAGGAGCATGGCATCCCAGTAAAACCGATACGGATGGAGATGCCGGATCTCGTGGACATCTCTCGTGGGCAAACTTCTGGTGATCTGGGTGAGGTCGCGCAGAATGTCGTATAGGCCTGACGGACCCTCGCTCCGGGATTGGAAAGTGGGGGCTCCACCAGAGCTAGTCAGATTGCGTTGGTGGCTCTGGTAGAAATGATTCCCGTAGAAGCCATACCTCTGGCGGCAGCAGGAAAAGGGCTCCGGCGATGCTGGAAGTGATCTCTTGGCACGTCTGTGGATGTTCAAACTCACCGTGCCGACGTTCGAATAGCTCGCGTTCAGAGTTCTGCGACAGGGACTGCCGTGACTGCTGGCCGTGTGTGGCGAGACCGGCCAGGGCATCAACGATTGGAAGCAGGGCAGCTCCTAAGGTTAAGGCGAAGGAGGCAGAAATGAGATCCCCTGTCTGTTGGACGAGGACGGCTCCGTCATAGGTGGCCAAGTGCGTTGGCGCGTTCGGCGACGAGGCATCTTTCTTGGCCTTTCTCTCGTCATGCTGAGATGCGTGGCAGTGCCGGCGGCTGCCACTCGGTTTGAAAAAGGGTCTCGGCACGAGAAGGAACAGAAGAAACTCGGAAACCCTTCGGGCGTTTCCTCGTTCTTTCCGCCGCTCTCAGCCCGAGGATATGTATCTATATACTATATATCAAACAAAACGCCATTGTGAAACATCTAAATTTTTTTCTTTTCTTTCTGTGTTGTTTCAAAATCGTCGTTCGTGACACGTTTCAGACTAAATAAATACCAGGTTTTCTTTTCCGCCAGCTCTGCATGATGGTCAATTTACCTCGTTTCTTCATACTGGCATGTCAGGGGGATCGGTGGTTTTGATAGAACCGAGTTGGATGGACATCTGAGAATTCTAACTTATTATTTAATGCCCTGAAGGCGACACGCACTGAATACATGTGGCGATGTAGGAGTGTGGCATATATAGAAGTGGAGACTTTTTTATTATAAGCTTGACCACTGATTCCAACTAAGTATTCTTAATTCTAAAGTTAAATTGAACGAAAATGTATTACCAGATACACCACTCGCTGACAGTAACTTTGTGAAATGGCCACGACATTTCAAGATCCCTCCTCCAGGTCATACTTGAGAAAAACTAATATTTTGTTTTTTCGGTTAATATCGGTTAAAACCGGTTACCGGTAAATAATTTACGGTTACGGTTTTTATAAATTTCAAATTACAGTTTTGTTCTGGTTACGGTTACTGGAAAAATTTCGTTCCTAGACGGTTTTCGGTTTCGGTTACGGTTTGAGTCCCCGCTCCAGAGAGGAGAGGAACTTTGCTACTTCGAACATTACCCAAAGACACCAACTGTGAACGAGATCGTAAGTAATCTTGCAGCAGAGCGAAGAAAGGACCTCTGAATCCTACACGGTACAATTTATAAAATTGTATGATTAACGGAATCAAATGCTTTTTTTTTTTTTTTTAACATCGAGGAAGAGAGCGCATACACAAGAGTTGTTATCAAAGGACGAATGAAGGAAGTCAGAGAACAACGTCTAGTAAGCATGACGCGCCACGCCCCGTGACAAAGCCGTGCTGTGAAGATGGTTGCAACCCTGTTGTGTAGTGAAGCCATGGCTTCACTACTCAACAGGGTTGTGCTGAGCGCCTACACTCTTAGAAATAGTAATGTAGTTTAGGGGTGTTACATTAGGGACAAGGGGTGTACCGTTATACACCCCGTATAACGGTACACCCCTTGTCCCTAATGTAACACCCCAAAACTACATTTGGACGTTCAGTCCACTGAAGTTGAGCTGGCGCAGTGTTGGGAAGTACTTTAAGCACATTGTACTTAAAGTACTACTTCAAGTAGGTTTAGGAAACTTGTGTTTTACTTGAAGTACATTCTCTGAGTATGTACTTGTAATTTGCTTAAAATATTTTTTTCTGGTACTTTCCAATGAAAGTACAATTCCCGACTTCAAAGTACATTCCACAAATTTAGTTCTGTTAAATTTGTATCACTAAATAATGCTTTGTCAACTCCGAAGGAAATCTGGGAGGGATATTCTACTATTGCCAGAAACGTGAACAGACGGCACATCGCTCCATTTGTTCTGGTAGCGGCTTCCTTGTAACTTTTTGAACGCTCGCTACTTCTCATTTGGTCAGCGCAAGCGAGGAGGTTTAAAATATTAGTTGAGCCAAATTAATCATGATGCACCAGAGACTGTGGTGCGGAAAAATTAAATTTTCAAGTCGAAGTAAAAGACAACAGAGGAGAACGTCGCTATGTTTTCAGACATTCACTTTTGTCTTTTCCTTCGACTTGAAAGTTCCTTAATTTTTTCACACCCCAATCTCAGGTGCCACATTATGATTAATTAGCACCAGCGCGCTCGTACACTCACTGTTTTTTGCATTAAGGAGAGGACACTCCTTTATGAGAGGATTGCTTGTGGAAGCTACGGGGCTGACGTCATGCTCTCTCCTAGTGCATTTAGCCCCCTTGAGTGCAACAATCCAGTGCAAGCGGCGCCAAATTTAGAAGAGGGACTTCTGAATTCGGCTCCATTCCTTAAAATAGCTAGACTGTGGCCACTTGACTTTATCAAATATTTGCCGTTGTTTTTGAAAATAGGCCACGCACCCCTGATTACCACTGGGCCGTGGGCAATGCATACCAGTTAAAAAATCACTGTATAAGGGAATGAAAGGGCATCATGAACATGAAAGATTGTGTCAAAATACTTGTACTTTACTTTAAAAGCACATTGTATTTATAGCGCTTTACTTCAAGTATGTTGCACCCAGTGTACTTAATACTTTACTTAAAGCACATCACGTCTCATTTACTTTGTACTTTACTTGAAGTACCGTTTAGATGTACTTTACCCAACACTGAGCCGGTGATACCAACTTGTACAAGCGGTTTGATAGCTCTTGGATATAGCGTACTAAATAGCTAATGTCCGCACCAAAGACTAGAAAAAAAACCCGGAGGTTTTGCGGCAGGGCCAGTAAAAATCTTGATTGTCTTACTGTAGCCTTTAATGCGAACATTAGCTATTTTATTAAGTTGTATCGGTCGACTATAAAGCCTCTCTTGAAAGTTGGTATCGTCGGTTCGACGTCTGTGAACTGAACGTCGCATTGTTTTGGTGTGTTACAAATGGGACAAGAGGTGTACCCCCATACTATGGTGCCTGGATCGCGTCTCCGACTGGCGTGTTTAGCGTCCTATCCCGCCCATACATCAAAAGTGGTCCCAATGTGGCAACAAATGACGCGAGTGTCATGCTGTTGCCTGTCGCGATCCTGGCGGTTGGCCGCAGAAATCCTGGCGAAAAGCACGAGCGAACGCGAGTGTCACTTTCGTCACGGCGTCCCTTTAGGCGTCCCAACTTCCGGCTGCTGCAGCTTCCGTGAACTGTCACAGTGGAAAGCGACCTGCAGCAGAACAGGCGTCTGCCACTTATACCACAACTGTTGGGGCGCCGCCAGCGTCGCAACAGGCGACAGCATGACACTTCTATGACGTCATCAGGCGGAAATCGAGGGACCACTTTTTTGAACCCGGTAAACACACCAGTCGGAGACGCGTTCCAGGCACCATACCCATACACCTCATATTTCTTAGAGTGTAGGTGGCTCCACCGCACGGCAGCCAGACGTACTATTTGCCATCTCCCTTCCGCTTGTCACCGCTCGGAGACGACAGGCATTGTGTGACTGTATAGGAAACGTTGGACGCAAACATAATCACGACCGCGCGGAGAGGATCAAGCGGCCGAGACATAATTCTCGTGACTGCGTCAACACTTGCGGTCCTTGTAACTACATCATCAAGATTTGCAACACAGAGACTAAAAGGAAAAGTCCGCTCATGTCCTCGAAAATAGACCGCGACAAAAAAGATCTTGGATCAGTGGCTGGCGTTGCGTGCGAGGATATATATACTTGGGTCATGTGCCTGTAAGCTTGTGTAAAGTGAGAAACATTCCAACCCAACATAGTTGCGCTGCCCCTTTCAGCACAATATCCCGAGAAGCAAAGATGCATCCCCTCTTCAAAGCTAGAGTACAGGGCGTCATGAGTTAGTTTGTTTTTCATTTCTGTTTCATTACAGTCATCATCATCATCATCATCATTTATTATCCTTGAAGGCCCTTACGGGCATTACACAAGGGAGTGGTACATTTGTTATTATTTTTCTTAATCGAACACTTCCGCACGCAATTTTAACACAATAGAAGAGGGAACTAGTCGGATAATGAAGAGATGAAAGTGGTTACAGAGGCGGCAAATTTATGTGTGTCAGTTATGGTAACAATGTCATTTGGTAGTATGTTCCAATCGTTTATTGCCAAAGGTAAAGTTGAATTACTGTATGAAGTCCATACAAAGAGCACTGAAATTAAACAAACTCACCCTCTAGCTTCGGCAGGTCCACATATCGCCTTAATTCAAACGTGGCAAAACGTTTGCGTCAACACGAAACTGTGCGAAATTTATGCACAGAATTAAAAACACACAAAATACCATCTCTTTTGGTTTCTTTTGGTCTGTTTTATTGCGTAGAAGTACGCGCTTTGAGTTTCAGCCAAGGACATCAAAATGCCGGCGATGTCACACATCAAGACGCTGGCCTCAGCAACTTTTCAGCTTCTCTGCTAGTACACACCTGAAGAAAAAAAAAAAGAAATAAACACGGGAGTGTTTTTAGTTGTATCTTCATTTTACCGCTCTTCAAAAAACACAACTTCTCCGAAAAAAAAAAAAAAACTAAGCTTGACGCACACGTGCACACCCTCGTCAAACGACGCGTTCCTTGACAAGGCGATAAACCTTCCGTCTATCGGTGGTGTGGCAATTATGCGGAGGGCAAGTTCGTCTGCTTCTTTTTGCGGGGGTTACGGTAACGTCAGAACGCCGAGCTTTGATATTGCCTATGATTGAAGGATAGTGGGTAAACCTCGAGGCAGCATGCTTTGAGGTCTACCCACTATCTTTCAATCAGAGCCAATCAGAGCTCGGCGTTCTGACGTATCCACAACCCCTGCAAAAGAAGTAGACGAACTTGCGCTCCGCATAGTGTTTTTCTTTTTCTTGGAGTTGTTTTGCTTATCTTTTTATATCAATGCTTCAGTATTACGTATACCTTTTTTCTGCTTCTGAGGTTTTCCGTACATTCGAACAAATAAACGATGATGATGGTTCCCTATCTTACATTGTTTTATGACCTCAACGCCGCTGTCACACTATACCACAGAAAGGAAACGGAGTTTCTCTGCAGACATAATGGCAGAATTATCTGCGGAGACGCCTCAGGCATGTTCGAATTAAGCGGGCTTGATTTTAACAGATGAATGAACATGTCTGCAGGGAGATTTTCTACGACCAATGTGACGTCATAGAAGGAACAAACACGCCTCAGATACTTCCTGCAGACTGTCTTTTGTATGATGGTATTAGCAGCGCGAACGCGGCTTTAGGGGCCACCCTTCTCGGGTTTCGCAAATAGCATACCGCTGGTGTACACTCATTTTGTATATGCTGCGTTAAAAGATAGTGGCTTGTACCTTCTATACGTTTTTTTTTTTTAATGATTCACCAATTAGAGTCACCAACCGAAGTAAAGTGAGTATATATGTAAGCAGATACTACTCACATTAAACGCGTCCCACTTGGACCTAATACTTGTGGCGAGGTTGGGTGCCTTCTGGTCCTGGATAGAGAACAAAGCAAGCAGGAGAAAACCTAATTAGAAAATGACGCCACTGGCCGCTATATCTGCCACAATATAGCACACTATATAACTCGCAGAAAAGTTAAAAGACGGCTTCTGTCAGTTAAGTTTAATCAGCTCCCAAAATAAAACGACAATGTGTTTCTGTTTGTTTGTTTCTTGTTTTTTTTTTTCAAAGGCGAAAGCTTTACTTGCTTTATGACGCGAAATGGAGTGGGCGCTCTGCCCGAAAGATGGACGTAAAAATACGTCATCAAGCACGCGCCACTCAAGGTCAAAGCGGACGCGCCTCACAAATAAAACAAAGAAAAGCACAGCAACGCAGATGCTCCGTCACGGAAGCCGGCGGGGCCGCACGAGGTCAAAGTGGACGTGCCTCCGAAATAAAACACAAAGAAAAGCGCAGCAAGGCAGATGCGTCGTCACGGAAGCCGTGGAGCCGGCGGGGGCGCCGCGCCTGCGCAGTAGGGGAGCGTGATGTCCCCGTAGGAGCGTAGTGTGAAAAAGGAAGACGTGGCGCGCTACTTGTAGGAATCCGCTGCGTGTAGGAATGCTTTCACATTCCTACTCGTAAGCAGTCTTAAGTGTCTTCGGCGTGTGTTAAGCTATGTTTTGATATTGCACCAAAAGGAACCCTACGATACATCATAAACTGTTGAAACCGATTGACGCATTATGATGTGGTGTCACGAAATCATCATTTAATTCTTCCCAAAGACAAAGAATATCCTTTTGAGCTATAAAAGAAACCTCCAACCGCGAGCACGCAGAGCCTCCTCAGGGTATATACCATTCGCAAATCGTCTCAGAATAGTTCTGAACACAGTTTAAAAGATAGGCTGTTGTATACGCCCTGCTAGAACTAGATTTTTCTCAGCTTCTTTCAAGATGAAGCTTTCTAAGTCTATACATTGCCGTACGCATGATATCTCTATGCGCGAATTATCTCAATTCATGAAATGCGGCAAGTTGCTCACATTGTCAAGAGATAGGTCATATGAAACGTGCATTCCCTTTGGATAAAGTCAACAAAGGCAATTTTAGCCCCCCCTTACGGTACCAGCAATTTTGTTATGGTTTTCTAATTCACGTCCCAAAGTGCACGTACAGCTAGCTATAGAGTTAAAACGAACAGGCGATCGCCGGAATTCATCACTTTGCTTGTTTGTTTATTAATAGCTTTCAATAAAACTATTTGTGTGTATAATATGTGCTCGCCAGGGGCGCAAGCCAGGCAGTAAAATTTAGTTCGTCGCTCTCTTCTGTTAGTTGTTAGTAGACCAAAAAAAATGAATCAACGTCATGTTCATTTTAAAGGAAGCGTCCAAAGGCGTTATATTACAGTGTGATTGTGTGTTGGTTGAGTTTCTAACGTTATTTGTTTGTGGGAATTTCAATTACATATCGGGCCCGTAGAATGGTGGGCTCCTTCCTCAGTTGTTCCCATTACACTTGATTTAAAGTAACAAACATCTAATTATTTGCGAATTCCTACAATTTTGAGAAAAAGCAACAAGGTTAGTTTTTTTTTTTTATAAGTAGTTTGTAAAGTAATTCAATCAAAAGGTAATACCGGTTTAGCCATCTTTGTGAGAAAAGTGCATGGTAAAAACTGCCGGGAGAATTATAAAAATACTGGAATAAGATATGTTGTCAATGGACTGTTTCTGGAAAGTAGCGCGCTCCCTCAAGTGCCGAGCGTGAGGCATTATGGGAACAGTGAGGGTCGCTGCTCTGTCGTCTGCTGCTACCACTGTTCTACCTGCGAGATCCACGTTACCAACGTTCCAGTCGGGTCCCTGTGTACGGCAGACGGCAATCTTTGCAGCGTCCTGTGCTGCGCTGCGTTGCCCACATGAGATGAGAAACCTTCAGTCACAGCACGACTGTCCACACTGCCCTTTTTAGAGCGCAGCTCTTAGGGGCCCGTTTCCGGCTTGAGCGGCGTCGCCGTCGCCGTCGGCGTAACCTCGCGGTGCAGCATGGGAAATGTCCCATAATGCACCGCGCGAGCTCCCCACCGGGATCACGTGACCTCGTGGGGGCACGTGACCCCCCCGAGGTCACGTGACCCCCCGAAGTCACGTGACCCCCTCCTTGAGGTCACGTGACCCCCCGATAACGTCATCGTCACTGATGACGTCACCGGCATCCACATCGTCATCGTCATCATCACTGATGATGTCACCGGCATCCACATCGTCATCACCACTGATGACGTCACCGGCATCCACATCGTCATCGTCATCATAACTGATGACGTCACCGGCATCCACATCGTCATCGTCATCATCACTGATGACGTCACCGGCATCCACATCGTCATCGTCATCATCACTGATGACGTCACCGGCATCCACATCGTCATCGTCATCATCACTGATGACGTCACCGGCATCCGCATCGTCATCGACATCATCACTGATGACGTTACCGACATCCACATCGTCATCGTCATCATCACTGATGACGTCATCAGCGACGTCACTGATGTCGTCATCGGCATCCGCATCGTCATCATCACTGATGACGTCATCAGTGACGTCACTGATAACGTCACCGACATTCGCATCGTCATCGTCATCATCACTGGTGAAGTCATCAGTGACTTCACTAATGAGTCATCGGTACCCGCATCGTCATCGTCACTGATGACGTCATCACTGACGTCAGTGATGACATCATCGGCATTGGGGGTCACGTGACCCCCCAAGGTCACGTGACCCCCCCTGGTTAGTTTAACCCCCCAGTGCCCTTCCCTCCTCCTCCTCAAGAGCTGCGCTCTAATTCGGCGTTACAGGGAGTTGTAAGCGGCTTTCACTTTTTTGACGGACCATCGTTCTGTATGGGCCACCATTTTTATTTTTTTTTTAATGGGCCATCGCGCGTGGGCCACGCGTCAAAAGATCGAGGTATATCACCCACGTATCTAACATGTTTTTTTTTTTTTTTTGCTACGTTAATTAGCTGAGCCAGTTCGTACATTTTATTATCCTTCTCCAATTAAAAACAACGCAACTTGGTCTAACAACATTTGAAGACAGTTAGCTTGCCTGGATGCATCAATGGATTAAAAATTGTGCTGCAGTTCACGCGCTAGTTTGCACCACCTAGCAAGCAAAAGCTCGACTAGGCTAGACTCGCTTGGCTAAAGAGCGCGAAACCTTCGCAGTTTCAATAATGCCTCTGAGCGCTCACTGGTTACGCTGGCATTTCCAAAAAGGTCCATTATTGTATACCTCAAATATTAGAGGTAATCAAAACGCAGGGAAAAAAACCCACTGACTGTGCTATACTGCGACATGGAGCTTGCTAGAAACTGCAGAAATCTCGAGTTAGTCTACATTTTTATGTGTTGCTCACTGTAAAGAAACGCTCGTGTGTCTACTTTCCCCGCAGAACACTCACAGAGCCAATCACTGAATCAGTTACGCCGGGATGTGGCGAATGCTAAGACCGGAGATATCTATATGGATCGCAAGTTTGTCTGCTTCTTGCACAGGGGTTGCGATGCTCTCAGAGCGCCGAGCTCTTATTGACTGATGGCAAAAAATAGTGGGCAGACCTCAAGGCATCCAGCATTGAGGTCTACCCACTGGCTCTACCACACTTCATCCCAAGTCGCTTCATCCCAGGACAGTTCATCCCAGACACATCATACCAAAGTCATTTCATCCCAGGATGTTTCACCCCAAGACAGTTCATCCCATGGACAATTCATACCACGACATTTGATACCAGAATAGTCCACACGGTTCAGCCGATTCAAGGGCTACTCACTTCATCCCAAGTCAGTTCATCCCAGGACTGTTTATCCCGGACACTTCATACCGGAAACGTTCTATCCCGAGACGTCTCATCCCAAGACTCTTCATACCAAGGACATTTCATACCTGGATATTTTATACCACAAAGTGTTCTGCCTAAAAGAAGAAGTTATAAAATCGGTTTCGCACGCGCGGAGCCGACACATGCACTTCGTCTTTCTTCTATTGTCACCCGTGCCACGTAAGACCGTCCTGCACTTGGCATCGAGCTTCCATCAGTCGAACAGTCCACCCGGCCCGACTCATTAATTGTCATCGAGTTTGTTTATAGAACATGGCCACCTTTGTGGCTTTTCGTCGAGGATCGCCGAAGCTCTGCTTCGAAGGTTACATGTACACCAAGCACAGGACCAATGACGAGAAGACGGCATGGAGATGCGAGAAATTCTAGGAGGGTTGCCGGGGACGAGCTGTTACTGCAGGTGAGACGACCACTGTTACACAAGGCCATACTTGCCATCTACCGAGTCCGAAAAATGTCGCTGCGGCGCGTTTACAAAATGAGATCAAAACTGCAGCCAAGCGTTCCCACGACACCCCTCGGAACGTCGTCACCGCGTGCCTACAAGGGGCAAGACCGGCGACTATCGCGAAGCTCCCAAAGCTGTCATCACTGGAAAGGAAGGTGAACAGAGTTCGACGCGAAGCCCATGGCGCAGCTCAAATTCCCCACCGAATCGACGACATAATTGTACCTGAACACCTGCGCATGACAAGAACAGCGTCAGCTGAAGTATTTCTCGCAGGGGACACAGGCTGTAGTGACTCGGAAAGAATAATAATTTTCGCCTGTAACACGGACCTGTGCCGTTTAAACACCTGCGAAACCTGGTTGTGTGACGGCACAATTAAAGTAGCACCAGAGATGTTTTACCAGCTTTGGGTTGTTCATGGACTCTACAATGGCAGGGTGCTTCCCCTTGTATACTGTCTCTTGCCGAACAAGCGCGAAGCGACGTACAAAGAGCAACGCTCATGCTACTTGAGGCTATTGACGATGCCACTTTAACCCCACGACAGGTGCACACAATAGTGATGGACTTCGAAAAGGCTGAAGAGACTGCTTTTCGGGAATGCATTCCTGACGTCGATGTGCATGGATGCTTATTTCATTTCGCGCAAACCATCTGGCACCGAATTCAGGAGCTGGGCATGCACACGCGATTCATTGATGATTCCAGCTACCACCTCATCGTGAAGAAATTCATCGCACTGTGCTTCTGCGATGTTTTCGACGTCTGCGACAGATATCGCATGCTCGCAAGACAGCTGCTGGACTTGTTTGGACGCACGGAACAGCACCAAGAGTTCCTAGACTACTTTGAGAATACCTGGGTCGGTTGACCCCACAAGGACCCAAGGTTCCCAATATCTATGTGGAATTGCAAGCGCGTGACAGAGGTCAGCCTTCCCAGAACCAACAATAGCGTTGAAAGCTGGCACCGGGTATTCCAAAATTCTATCGGTGCATCCCATCCTACAGTATTCAAGTTGCTGGATGCGCTTCTCTCTGAACAAGTCCGTGTGAACGCGATAGCCATCCAGCTGGACGTGGGTCATAAGCCACCGCTGTACACGAAGAAGGAGTACGAGCAGTCTAACAAGCGTCTATGCCGGATCCTGGATGACTATAACAACAGAAACGCAGACAGCTTTCTCAATGCGTGCTCGTGCTATGTACTTAGCGATTCTTGAGTTTATTAGCCAGAATTGTTTGCTCTGAAGAGCGTATTAGCCCGAACTTTGTCCTCTTGTTAAGGTTTTGCTCTTATGGGTGGGTCATTGCAAAATAAACGTATTGATTTTTCATATTTCTGGTGAATGCTGTCTTGGAACGATACCTTTCGGCCGGTTTTCAAGTGACATCAATCCCCAGTATTGCGGTTTGTTGCAGTATACAGCTTTCTTTAGTAAATCTGACCATTGCAGCAGCACTGCAAATAGGGATTGAAGTAAGTGAATGAATGAGAGGGAAGAATACAAAAAGAGAAGAAAGGGCTCTAAGTGGGAATGGCCCGATTTTTGCTGAAGTCCAGTACCGAGTTGTCTGTGGGCACTCCTATGCACGCCCCAAAGTGACGTTCATTTAAGTGCTGCAGCCGGTGAAATGCGACCTTGAGATTTCTTCTTGCTCGAGCTCAGCAACTCGTGGGTGCCCCGAATCATTCTGGTATGAAATGCCTTGGTATTTAATGCCACTGGCATGGAACGTCTTGGAATGAAACATCTTGGGATGAAATGACTTTGGTATGAAGTGAACGGGATGAACATTCCTGGGATGACGTATCCGGGGATGAATTGTGGCAGAGCCACTCTAAAGTATGAAATATCCTGGCATGTAATGTTCATGGGATGAAACATCTTGGGATCAAACGTCTTGGGATGAAACACCTTTGGTATAAAATGTCTGGGATGAAGTGTCCTGGGATGAAGTATCTTGGGATGAACTGAGTGGACCCCCTACCCACTATCCTTCCAACCAAGGCCAATCAGAACTCGGCGTCGTTCTGACGTCACCACAACCTCTGCGCAGGAAGCAGACGATTGCGGCACTGAGCAAGACGCAACAAGCCTGGGAAACGTCGTGCTTAATGTCATATGAGAGACCTAATTTTTAGGTATGGTAATTTGCCAAGCTCCTTTAGATCGCGGTGATTGGTAGATAACCGGTTCGACTAATTCTTCTGCCTTATTAACATTTATACGGCAATGTTTACAGTAGGGACTTTAACAAACCGCTACCGTGTTCCGAGTATATATCACACTAGCGGAGCCTTTGAAGCATACTTTTAAAGAGCGATGCAACAATTTTTGCACTTTGCGCAAATACCGCTTAGAACGGGTCCCTGGCGTTAATGACCTGTAAAATACCTGTTCGTTTTTCACCACACGCAATAGAAGTTCCAGAAAAAAATAAAGAAAAACGAGCAGCGTTCACCCCCTCAACTCGCAGCCAGAACAAGTGGCCACGTGACCTGGGGCCCGATGTTGCGCTTTTTGGACTCCCACGGCGACTAGGGAGAAGGAAGTGACGTCAACAACGCAGCAAACGCAGGTTGGATGTTGAGAGAGTCGCCGATGACCAATTTCCGCAGAAGAAAACAAAAAAAGGTGCTTTGTTTCCTTCTGCGGAAATTCGTCATCAGTGTCTCTCACCAATCAACATCCAATCTGTGTTTGCTCCGCTGTTGACGCCACTTCCTTCGCTCTAGTCGCCGTGGGAGTCTAAAAAGCGCAACATAGGACCCCAACAGCAGTTTATATGCCGCCAATAGACCAATTGCTGAATTACCCAAGCATCAAGGAGAATGCAGGGATTGGTGTTCCACGCGCCACACGTGCTGGCCTCAGCAGTAGTGGCATCTTGCACACGCGTTCGTCAACGCTTTATTGTGGTTATTTACTTTGAATATTTTATACTGGGATGGCGTGCACGTGTGGCGCGTGGAACCCCAATCCCTGCATTCTCCTTGATGCTTGGGTAATATAGCAATGCGGGGCGCAAGTCTTTGTGACTTCTTACGAAGTCACAAAGAAGCCGAGCTCCGATTGACTCCGATGGAAACATAGTGGGTGGACCTCGAGACAGCCTGCTCGGAGGTCTACCCACTATCCTCCAATTAAAGCCAATCAAAGCTCTGCGTTGTTCTGACGTCACCACAACCTCTGCAAAGGAAGTAGACGAACTTGCGCTCTATCGTTGCACAGTCCCTAAAAGCGCGCGCACGGGGTGATACAGTGACCGCGGGGCGCGCGGAACACGGTAATGGTTTGCTAAATGTCCCCGTTAAAATAAAAGGATGTATAGTTATTTCGTTTCTCAACTTAAAATTATCTGTTTTATGGCGATGAAGAGCAAATCAATTTTTACTATACAAATTTTAATAAAAAGACAGATTTCCGCATTCGATCCTGTTCATAAAAAAACAAACAAAAGAAACTTACAATGACTTCCAAGAAATCCACAACTCGGTTCTGAAAGAGAAAAATGCTTATCAGTGAAGCTCAGCTAAAACCATGTTTCGCGAAGAAATATTTGAACGATTGATCAGCTGAAAGGAGTTATAACTACTCCAAATTTTCAGATTTCAGAGGGTGCATTGCCGAGGTAGGAAAAATGTTGATATCTAAATCATTTATTAATATTATTAAGAGTCACTGGACCGCCCCAAAAACAATTTTTCTATGTTCGGATAGGGCACGTACGTCTTAAAATAAACTTTCCCCGAATTAAAAAAAAAAGTACAATATTTACGTTGCGAGTCGCATTTAAAGTCGTACTTAGCGCGCTACATGTTCTTTGTTTTTTAAGGGAAGTTTGTTTTGCGACATACGTCTCTTATACAGGCACTTAAAAAAATTTTGGTGTGGAGATCAGGCAGTGACAAAAGCGCAATGTCACGGTGTTCGCCGTACCTTTCTACGCGTGTGATGTCAGCGACTAAATTAATCAACCACCGTGAATGCACCCTGCCCTTACGCCTGGAATATGTGTCTCTGTATTTCATGTTTGGTTACATATAGTCACCGAGAGTTTAAGACATGCGGAGCGTGGCCCAGTATGTTCGCGCTTTCTGATTGGTTCTTTGGTCCTTCTTATCGGCTAATACCCCGATCCCATTGGCTGCGGATAGAATGCTCGGAACCCGCCTTGCCCCGCGTTTCTCAAGATGTCGGTGTCTGTAACCAGTTGGCAAGGCGATTACAATGTATCTACGAGGTGAAACCATAAACGCGCACAGTGATATGCTTGGGCGCCACTCCTCTTCCGAAGCATACCGGCATACGTATACGACTGTTTGTTTGCCAACCGCTTGCCGCGAGATATAAGCGCCGACAGACGATAAGCTCTCTTCGCCTTTCGCAACCGCAATCCAACCCCAACGTATTACAGAAATCTACTAGCACTTCTCGGCGACGGCGGCACGCTTACGAGAAGAGTTCTGCTTATTCACAGGCGCCCGCCTCACGCAGCGGCGAAACCTCGAACTGCGATTGGCTTGTGGTGTTGCGGTGTATACCTTTCTTGCCTCTTGCGCGATTGATCAGTTCTTACTCTGCCTGAAATAGGCAGGCGTTTTGTAGCGGCACTGCAACGCCGCTGCGCACAAGACAGTCTTGAGAACAATGCGCAGTACGAAGTGACGTGACGCTTATTTCAATCAAAAACGTGGGACAGATGAGTGGCGGATGAGGCAGGTGAGGTATCGGAATACCAGTCTGAGTTTTCGCCGCTTGGGGTCGCCTTGATGTGTAAGCGGCCAATTCGTGACATTTTAAGCAAAAGAGACTTCCGTTCCTATAACCATTTTTTTTTTGCCTCAGTCAATTTTATATTTTATTTCCGATACAGATATATCTCCACCAATGTCAGCTGTCCCAAATTCGTAGATTAACGAAATCGTCCGTACAATTATCTCGTCCGCATACGTGTAAGGCCTGGTACACGCAAGCCTTGATGTTTATAATTAATCACAAATGCAGTTCGGAATATTTCGCGATAGAAAATGCTCTAAAATAGTTTCACAGAATTTTACACCGCGACACGACCTAAGAACCCAAATGAAACGTGATCATATATAGCTTACCACATTCTGGGATCCCACTTCTGCGGTAGCTTCTTTGCGAACGTTTACAATCTGTGTATTCAAAATAAGTATACATATATTCACAGCAGAGAAAAAAAAAATGTATAATCTAGATTTTAAGGTACACGTTTGTCGGTTAGCTCACCGTTGTAATTTCCTCTTGCGTGAAGCGGGCTTCTGTAAAGCATGTTTGCTCTGAAATAATAAATGGTGTGAAGACACAACTTTTATTACAATAATTAGGATATATTAGAAATGTTTCGCGAACACATTAAAGTGATTGCTCTAAGCATTCAAATTGCCAGGAGTTGATGTTCACGAAGTCGTTCGGACAATAGTTTCCACTTATGTTATGGTATTCCACACAACAAAAAGTCGGCAAGGTATACTCACGTTTTCAAAGAGAATGAACGAAAGAAAGCCTAAGCTTATTTCTTCTTACAATCGGGAAGTTCGCAAACGCGCGCCAATGTCATCAGAAAAAGAGGTGCACGCATTCGTAATTTAACCATGCACTCAGCAGTAATAACAAACTCAATAACTGTAATTTGGGTAACTAAAGCCCTATGTAACTGGTGACAAAGTAAAGCGACACGCGATGTGAATTATACTATAGAAAAAATAAACGACTGCGCATTTACCACAACATTCTGTCCTTCATTGGTACAAAGCCATTTGTCACGTGCATTTTTTTAATATTATTACTAAAACTAAAGCAAGAAAGAATGAGAAAGAACGCGAAGAAATGTCCACACAAGAATTTTGGTAAGATTATATGTTATATGGTTGACCTGATATCTGTACATATTAGAATTTTCGCAACTAAGTAAAAAAATGTCGCTCACCCATTTGCTCAAACAGCCTGGCTGTTTCCTGCGGAGTTCGGGCCTGGACCAGCACGATGCATGCCACCAGCACAGCCGCGCACCCGATTCCTCTCAGCATCATGACTCAAAGTGGCTCGCGAAATTTCCCGGCGTGTTACGATGGACTGCGAGCCCCGACGACGCCGGTATATGTAGGAGAATGGGCGACCGTTGCACACCTTTATCGCCGCGTGTTATCGTCTCCTCTTCAGAGCGGAAAAACCATGCGACCCAGCGACGCAGTCTGATTTACGTATTGCTTTCAACCGAGAAACTGCTCGCTCTCGAGGCTGCACTTAGCAAACACCGTCGGAGATGAAAGGAAATCCTAAATCGCGGCCCTGACGGCTGATTGTGCCCACGCGCAGCAGTCTGCACCAGGAGTGAAAACCGAGGCTACATGACAATACTGTGGACGGTTGCAATACGAATGACCGTTTACTGGGGGGCATATTCGTATAATCGCTAATGCGTGATGCTCGGGTCTGCAATCAAACTTTTCCCGTAAAGATCATCCTGAATATATATATTTATATGTGTGTGTGTGCGCGCGTGCGTGTGTGTGTGTGTGTGTGTGTGTGTGTGCGCGCGCGTGTATGTGCGTGTGTGTGTCAAGCCCCTGGCGAAACTGTCGGAAACTCTCTGTGTTGTGTTTTCCGAGGCGGCTCTTCATTTTTGCACACACACACACATATATATATATATATATATATATATATATCTTCCTGACGAAGGCCGGACTCCGGCCGAACCGTCGAAGATTAAATCGTCCGTTGTTGCTGTTTTCACTAAGGGTTTTTTTCTTCTCAGTTTTATATATATATATGTGTGTGTGTGTGTGTGTGTGTGTGTGTGTGCGTGTGTGTGTGCGTGTGTGTGTGTGTGTGTGTGTGTGTGTACACGGCAATCGTGGGAGGATAAACAAATCTAGTTTACTGGCGAAAAACGTTACAAGAAAAAAGATTGAAGTGCCGAACAAAAAGATGTATTAGTTTCCAAGAACAATCAAGGCTAGACACAGGACCTTTCTAGATACGCGGACAGTACATTTTAAAATGACAGAGTAAAAGTCAAATTTAAACAAGAATTTACGAAAATAAATTGTTAAATGAAAATAGGAAAATGAAGACAGTGCCACTGTCGAAACGTCGACGAACGTCAGGCCCCTTTCTTTTTTTCTTTTTTTTTTAATTCCTTATTCTCTTTTTCATACAGCAATTTTTGTTTTTGTAAGTTCTTGTGTTTAACTTCGACTTTTATTCCGTCATTTTCAAGTGTATACGCTTTTTAGTTGTGTGACGTTTTCGCCATTAAATGATTTTTTTTTATCATCCCCCGGTTGCCGTGTCTGCGCACCCTACTTTTGCCTATATATATATATATATATATATATATATATATATATGTGTGTGTGTGTGTGTGTGTGTGTGTGTGTGTGTGTGTGTGTGCGTGTGTGTGTGTGTGTGTGTGTGTGTTTGTGTGTGTGTGTGTGTTTGTGCGTGTTCGTGCGTGCGTGCGTGCGTGCGTGCGTGCGTGCGTGCGTGCGTGCGTGCGTGCGACCGTTGTCTCATACTTGATCTAGAGTCTATGCTGAGCTGACTACGAATGACGAAGGGTGGCCGGTAAGGCACCGCTCACCGAGTTGTCAAGTGTGGTTCTATTCCGTGGAACGGCCCGGTGTCTCCGATTTGGGACATCGACCGTCAATAGGTCCGATCAAGGAGACATCCCGTCGAGGTGCCGGTTCAGGCAAAATCCCTCCGCGCTCCCCGAGCGCTGCCCCTTTTATTAATCCTTCAACAATCTAAATGCGTTACAACCGATCACGACATCCTGGCAGTCCTCGTGCAGACGGCACGTGGCAAAGAGCGAAGCGTGCCGAGGCACGTGGCAAAGAGCCATGTCGTTCATCTGTCAGCCTTGCATTCCAAGACAACTATTGCCCATAGCTGCCCTAGATGGAGCTAACTTACACACTACAAATTCATTATTTTTTCTTTTGAATTTTTTTAGAATATAAGTATAATCTACAGAAAAACGTTATTATAACTTTTTTTTTAATATTTTCATAAATAAGTTTACAAAAAAAATCTTATTTTTTCTTTTGAAGGTTTTTTGAGAATAATCAAAACAAAGTGCGATTATTTTTCCTGTGTCACCTTTTCAACACTGTTTTTGTTGGAAAAAATAAATGTACTATTATTATAAAGGAATTCAGTAGGATCCTGGAAATTCAGTAAGGAGACGAAAAAAATTAAAAAGAATGATTAGACCTGTTTTTGTGAGGGCTCCTGTTGCCGTCGGCTCAGCTTCCTCTCGCGTCTCAGCAGCAAACCACGACCAAAGACAGCCTCGGGCAGCTCATTCGCGAGGAATAATCGGCATCGACTCCAATCCTCACAGAAACAGTGTGCGCTGCCTCACCCGCACGTTACCACCAGAATTCTTTCAAACAGCCTGTCGAACCGCCAAGATATCCTACTCAGCGTAATAACAACGGGGATCGCGGTTGGCACCAGCAGTATCTACAACCCACTTGGCGTCATATTTGTTTCTATCGTGACATCCAGGGACATGCTGCACGCTACTGTAACCGTCGCCAGTGGGATACATCTCGACTTGTCTACGCGTCAGGACCGCCAACTTCATATGACATCAACGAAAACTGTTGCGACATCCAAGATCGCGGCGCTCGGGACACGAGGTACCCCGCCAGATTCAGCCCGCCACGACGTTCAGCGTCCCCCGCCAACCGTGGTCGCCGCAGCAGGACCCCGTCACCTGTCTATCGCTCATCATCACCATTCCGGTTCGACCAGACCTTTCCTAAGTCATTCATTCACGGGGAAAACTAAAAGCGGCAGCTCGATGGAGTACAGCTGCTTCTACATCAAATCAACATCCCCCGCCATCATTTTCATCTTCAAACTTGCTAGACATTATCATCAAGAAGGTGAGATTCACGGCATTAATCGACACTGGTGCATCTATTTCAATGATCAGTGAAAACGTTAGAAAAAAATGAAAGCCGTTTACAAATCCCTGTAACGCCGAATTGGAGCGCAGCACTTGAGGAGGAGTATAGGGAAGGGTACTGAGGGGGGCACGTGATCTCGGGGGAGGGGGGGGTCACGTGACCTCGGGGGGGGGGGGGGGGGTCACGTGGCCTCGGGGGTGTCACGTGACCTCGAGGGGGGGGGGGGGGTCACGTCACCTCGGGGGTCACGTCACCCCCCCCCCCCCCCGCCCCCCCGGTTACGCCGACGCCGACGGCGACGCCGACGACGACGGCGACGGCGACGCCGCTCAAGCTGGAAACGGGCCCCTAAGAGCTGCGCTCTAAAAGTTAAAGCTTGTTGGCACACCCTGGGAAGGGGGATTTATCCGCACTGCTAACGTATCTGAGTCTGACTCATCCGCTAGGCGTAGTTTCCGTCTTTATAACCATTGGCACTGACTCTCATCGCCATTGTTTTGTCGTTTATCTCACTGCAGCCATGACGTTATCCTCGCATAGAACTTCTCAGCTACAAGCCACGCCCTTATTGATTGTGGTAGGAATGAAGTGTTGCCTGACCGGCGGGTAGAGGGCGCTGACGCACTCGGCGCCATTAGGTTGCTTCAATTCGGTCGGTTTCGGTTTCAACGTATACGCGAGTGTGATGCTGTTTCATGCCACTTTCGATTAATTTTGCGATATGAATTTTTTTCTAGTAGCACACAGCGAAGGAAACAATAGTATTGAGCCACTTGGCAAACCACGAAGTGGTTTCGAGCCTAAATTGCGATCTTTTTTTTACTAACTTTATATGCGTCTGATTCCGTCCATCATTATTTGCGGTCAGGTTCGGCGGTGAAAAAATTGCGCTGATGCAAAGGGGAATTACCATTGTCCACAGCCGTACCCGCGGACACTAATTTCAAGAAGAAAAAAAAATAAAGAGCAGGACAAGCTCCGCCTGCAGCGTGCGCTCGTTGCCCGCCGCCGTGCTTTGGCTGTGCGTGCACCGAGCGGTACGGAGGCAGATAGCTCGCGCTCAAGTCATATATTGAAATTGCAACAGACTATATTGAATCAGTGCTTAGTGAAAAATCAGGTCGACAACATGATTAACAATCTGCTGAATCACCAAGAACAAATGAACTGACAAGTTTACTGTTCGATGTTTGGTTTCCGTACACCAACCTTTTCTAACTTCGAGACTGGAAATGTCTTTTATAATATCTAGAAAAGTTTAATATAATCACGTAGATAATATAAAAATGTGATATTGTCTCGGCCTGTTTTATTTAAAGAAGTTAAGCGATCGAGAAATATTTTGATAGACCAGCCTAGGCTGACTGGAAAATTTTTTTTTTTTAAACTAAAGTACTCATTTACAGCATTTCAAAATATTGGCCTTATGAAATAAACGTTTTGTTATATGGACATTTGCTTACGACGTTCTCAAGGTATGAGGATGGTGAGATAAGTGAATGCCAGTCTTTAAATAAAGTCTGATATCCATTTTCCGTAAAATTTGCGGAATGAAATTGAAGAGCGCCAAAGAAATGATCTTTGATAAGTTAGGCTGAAGTCGAACGCCAGGCGCCACCCAATGGACCTTTGTAGAAAGCTGTTCACCGATTCCAAACGATGCGCATTGCACATTTTGACGTCGCCATCTACTGAAAGTAACTCCATATTCGAAGTCGACAACCGGCTGCACTCGGGTGATTTTGATGCAGAAGGATTCTTTTCGGTGTCACATTTTATGAATCATAGGCACTATCAAGCTGTCTGTGGCAGTTTCTTACGCGGGGAGTCCAAATATTTGTGTTGAAATAAATTAATTGAAACTGCATGGTTATATTAAAAAAATGACTTAAGCAACTGAAAGACTATGGACATGGGACCAAGCACGATATACAATTCCGTGGAATTCATAAATAAACCGATAAAGCGAATGCTTATATCACACACGTGATTAAGAACGTAAAACATATAGGTGTGATATTGCGAACAAACAAGTTGCCTAATGTTAAGGTACCATTATTTCTAGCATAAAAGATAATTCAAACTAAATGTTTGTTCCCGCGGCTCCACTAGTTCCCTAGTGTAATCAAAAGAAACTGTTTTCGATCTGTTGGAACTACAAAACACCATGTTTTTAGGAAAAACACGTACTAATTAAGCGGACTGTTTTTGTTTTCTTCCTTTACACCAATGCGCACTCATATATATAACAACATTCGGCTTCCTATTGCAAATGTTCCACCCTTCTCAGTAACCAAACCTCAGTTTTCATAAG